ACACACACACACACACACACACACACACACACACACACACACACACACACACACCCTTTAAATTTCTTCCAACTTGATGTGTTGTTTTTGACAGAATGGATTTTTAAAAAATTATTTTTCTTTTTAATTTTTCTTTTTAAATTTCTTGAATCATGTAGCACTGGCTGTCCTGAAACTCACTATGTAGACCAGGTTGGCCTCGAACTCATGGAGATCCTTCTGTCTCTATCTCAAGTGCTTGTATTAAAGGTGTACACCATCCCACTGCCTTTTTTTTCTTTTTAAACTTTGAGCAATTAGTTCTTTAAAAAACTCATGTAGATATAAACAAACAAAAATCAATAGTCACATAAAAGCAAACCACAGAAGATCCAACTCTTCATGTGGAGCACATTGGACCACAGATGAGATTAGTAATCTTTTCCTCTTGTACTATTCAAAGCAAATGGCCCACATAATTTTTACTGTTCAACCTTAAGACGAATTTAAAAATTCACTAGAGCAAACCAGAGCACAATACAATACACAGAACATCTCCTTCCAGAGACAAAAGCTACCGTGATGACCCAGAGAGAAAGCACTATGCTTTGTAAGGGTGAAGAGTTCAATAAGGCACGCTCACAGTGACTTCTTCTACAGCTCATTCTTACCTGAGCCTCTTTTCAACCTTCTTCTGGCCAGTTTAATTTGATCTTGTAGAATCTGTACCCAGTCTCTTGGGCCAGGAAGTTTGTCCACGTGATTTGCAGTACAGTACTTTTCTGTAAAGACTGAAAGAAAACATGAAATGCCACTAAATACTTTAACAACAACAAAAGGACACAAAACAAAATAGGAAGATAGTCCAAGGAGAAAAACAAGTCTATATCTTTTGTTGTTTCTTTCCTGGTGTTGGAACTTAAGTTAAACACACACACATGCCAGGCATGCACTCTACCACAAGCTACTTCCTCAGCCCTGAATTTCCGTGGATGTCAGATCCATAGGGTACATCCATGTGGCAGTCTGAGTAGGAATGACCCCCACAGACTCCTGTGTTTGAATGCTTGGTTCATACGGAGTGGCACTCTTAGGAGGTGTGGCCTCACTGGAGTGGGTGTGGCCTTGCTGGAGGAAGCATCACTGTGGGGTGGGCTTTGAGGTCTCCTATGCTCAGGCTCCATCCAGTGTAGATCGAGACACAGAACTCTCATCTCCCCCAGCACCATGCCTGCCTGCATGCTACCATGCAACTCTCCAAGATGATAAGGGACTAAACCTCTGAGACTGTAAGCTAGCCCCAATTAAATGTTTTCCTTTATAAGAGGTGCCACGGTCAGGGCATCCCTGCACAGCAATAGACCCCACACTAAGACACTCCTCCACAGGGGCACTACGCTCTTTTGGTAAAGATGGCTGGAAACCCTAAGCAGTTTGCGTGGAAACTGCTCTTTTTGTGTGTGTGCATATGTCTGATGGGAAGAAAAGAAAATGCTTCACATGGCTCTACCAGGCCCATTTATGACAGAGTTGCGTAAACGTGTTAAATGACTTTGTCTGTGCTGTCAGCTCAAAGTCAAATGCAACATCACACAGAGATGTTCTCCGGATGGTCTGTAGAGACTCGGTACTCAACGTAAACAATACGGCTCATCCATCTTCCTGAAGTTCTGAGGCTCAGTCTAGGTAGGACTCAACCCCCTGCACGCTGCATTGGGTATGAGGAAAGACCTGCTCTGCGAAGCGCTAAGAAATGACAGAGAAACACAGGGCAGGACAAAAGACAGGCAGAACAATGGCTCCAGGAAAGCCACACAGTGTGTGGCCACACGTGAGCCATACAGTTGACATTTCTGTCCTGGGAGCTTTTCAATCCATCTTTTTTTTTTTTTTTTACCTTGCTGCCTGTGAGGTCAGTAAGCGGCCATGTTGCGCTGCCTTCCTGGTATTTAAAATGTTAGTAATTTCAATGTGTTAAAAGGTCTCTTTCAAAAAGAAATGACAAAGGAAAATATTGACAGATTTAACTATACAAAAATTGAAATTCCCATTCAATGAAAAACAAACATCTTAAAAAAGCCACAAACCTGGCCACATTATATACGCCTCAGAAGGTTCAATATCTTTAAAGAGTGCACTCACATAAAAGAGCGAGTTCAATAGTCCCATAGATCAATAGTGTATTTGAAGTATAAAATACTAAGGAAAATGTTCAACTAATATGTAAATCAAAGACCTGCAAAGCACGCTTTGTATACCTATCCTAAGTTAGAAAAACAATGTCAGAAAGGCTGTATTTGAAAGCAGCAAAACTGTCTGAACTGACCCAGTCAAGCATTACCATAACAGTGATAGGCACACACACACACACACACAAGCATAAGACCGGGAACTTTTTCTTGGGAAATAAGAACAAAGCATAATGAGATCCATCAAACCGTTACCTCCCTGATCAGTAATATTACTTATACAACTGTGTCCTGAGGAAATACAGAAGGAGGACAAAAGCCACGTATGTGAACTCAGGTGCAGTTGTGCAGGAAAGGTGACAGCTGTGCAGAGGACGGCTCTGCAGGCCAGAGAGGAGAGCTAACACTTGTCCCAGTTAGTCACGCATCTGGGGCAGGTGAGCGACACTCTGCGGTAAAACCTACGATACAGAAAGCACAGGTGGGGAGGTGTGTGAGGGAAAGGCGGAATACCGTAGACTGAGGGGCTGTCTGTGGAGCTCCCGCATGACGTGGCAAGCAGAAGGTTAGACGGAGGGAGAGTGAAAGAAGCTGGGCTAATGACCTGTTAGGTCTGCGTCCGTGGGATCAGTTCCTAGACCCGGGGAGAGAGTTATGGAACTGAGGCATCACCTATGCCATCACCATATGTATTAAGTTTAGATTACTCATGATAACTAATACAATGTTAATAACTAACTAGAATGTTGTATTGTTTAGGGAATAACCATAAGAAAAAAGTCTACGTGGTTGGTTTTACTTTATTTTTTTCTTGAGGCAGTGTTTTCATAGCCCTGGCTGTCCTGAAACTTGCTCTGCAGACCAGGCTGGCCTTGAACTAAAAGATCCCCCTGTCACTGTCTCCTGAGTGCTGGGATTAAAGGTGTTTGCCACCACTGCCTGGCAAAAGTCTACATGTTTAAAGCATGTACTTTTCTACTGAGCTCTGCTGTCAGCATCAAAGGTTTTCTATTTTGTTTTTTCCTTGATTATTTTCAACCTGTGCTTGGTTAAACCTGTAGATGCTAAATCTACTGACTATGAAGAGCCTATTTGTATATGCGGTCATAAAACAACAAACAGAAAAACTATTACGAGAGAATACACAGAATGAAGGGCACTGGCTGAGCATAGATTGTGGAGAACACCAGTGCTTGGGAATAAATGGAGGCAGAGAAGCCCACGGAGAAGGCCGGGAAGACTGCAAAGCCGAGCGATTCAGGAAGAATAGTCTTATCAGGGTGACAAGTGGTGCGAGAGCATTAGTGAAACAGTGGCTTAGCAAGTTGTCTGCTGAGAGCCATTGAGGGAGTAGTCACCGATATCACTCTAGAAGTATCTGGGCTCAGAGCAGAGTGAGGAGGAAAGGATGAAGGATGGTTTGTAGGTAGAGGCAACATGGTAGTTGAATATAGGACATATGAAAAAGGAGGGGATGATTCAAGGAACCACCTTGAAGGAACTAGGGATGATGGGATATGGGACTGAAATAGAGGGGCCCCTTTAAACAAGGAAAGAAGCCAGAGGATGTGGAGGTGTGGGTAAGAAGTGAGTCTAGGCTGGAGGCTCTCAGCTCTAGAGACTCAGTGAGTTCAGTGGGAAGGCACCATGGAGAGTGCGGGAAGGTTGGGAATTGTTGCTGACAGTGGGCAAGCGCAGACTGAGGAGAAGCAGTAAGGTGCAAAACAGTGAATGGGGTGCAGCAGTCTGTGGGGGCGGGGTACCGGGCAAAAGGGATGGCCTGGTGCTAGAGCTAACTGACCAAGTTTAGCAGCAGGACGGAGTTTTAAGATGCGTGAGGCTGCTAGAAAGATGACACTAGAGACGTGCTTAAAGACAGACTCTGAGAGGTTACACGGATCAGTACATGGAGGGACCAGTGGGTTGGCAGGCGAGGGCTAGATGGCAGTGCAGTGGAAAACACCTAGAGTAGGCTGGTGGGATGGTGAAGCATCAAACTGGAAGAGCTGTGTGGAAGGAGGCTAAGGTATGTTGAGTGATGTGGCTAGCAACAGGAGTGAAAGGCACGGCTGCTGAGGTCCTGCACCCCATGGCCAGGGAGCAGAGAGCTTTGCATCTGCACAGAGGAGTACACCAAGCTGTTGGAGCAGGTCTCCCAACAGCCCGCATGCAAAGGTCCATCTCAGCCTCCCATGAGCAGTAGGAAGAGAGATGGTGGAGAGATGTCTCTGAGGTTAAGAGCACTGGCTGCTCTTCCAAAGGTCTATGAGTTCAATTCCCAGCAACCACATGGTGGCTCACAACCATCTATAGTGAAATCTGGTGCCCTCTTCTGGCATGCAGTTGTTCATGAAAACACACATTGTATAATAATAAATAGATAAATCTTAAAAAAAAATAGAATCAAGGAGTAGGGTGATATGAATCAGGTGACCCACTGTACGTTATGTACAGTAAAGAAGAGCAAATAGCAGAGGAAGCAAAGCACATTTCTGGGGCACAGATGTGCTTTTCAACATCCAATATCAGGTTCTTCATTTCTTTGTCTCGCTCAAATACCCTATATACTGAAAAAGCTCAAGAAATGTGCAGTGAATAAATCAGTAGGGTTCTCAGTCTTGTTTCTAATGTTAGCAAATAGCAGAAGCTTAAAAAATCTAGTTTAATTGGAAACTGGCCTATCTGAACTAGAAGGGGATCTTAATTAATAAAACATACTTAATGAAAAAAGGTTTTATTATACTCAAGTGCTCACAATTAACATTTACTAATTGAAGAACTGTCAAAAGGTGCTTGAAGTTGTTTTAATAAATAAAACTTTAAAAACAGTGTATTTGTATCTAGCATTCTATTAACTTAAATAAAAAAGCATACTATAAAAATGACTGAATAGACTGTCTTATGAGGTAAACATCTTTCCACTTATAATGCTATGTACACAATTAATTTCCATAGCAACCTCTTTTCTTAGGTTGTGAAATGCTGTGCCCAAATTATCACACATTAGCAAGTTGTGATTCCAAAATAACAAAGTAGACCTGGGCTATGCCAACGTCCAAATGGTTCCATGTGTGGCAACAGACGGTTTAGAAGAACCAAAGGTAGGATTGTGGAATGTTCTCTCTCATTCCATGAGGGGCTGTGGTTCACAGCTTAGCAATCTAACCTTGAGCTCAGAATTCCACCATTCACTTAAAAAGGCAACAGTTTCTGCTTATTTTCTTCTTCTTTCAGTTAAAACTTTTCTGCTTTCAATAGAAAAATGCTAGGAAAATCACCATCCCCTGGGCTCGTGACTAAGACCTTTGAAGGCACATCACAGGCTTCTCAAAAAATGCCTACACAAACAAATACTTCCACCAGGCACATTATTGACATTCTGGTTCATGGATTACATCCAAACTTCAAAGGGACTTTTAACTAGAATTTACCTATTGAAGATGAAATTCTATTTTCTCCATTACAATCGCAGATGAGACCTTAGAACAAGGCCAAAAGATTGTCACTGCATTGATATGAAAGCAGCTGATAGGCTATGTGAATAGAGGTATGGAGTAAGCAGAATATATTTTGCTATCAGAATCTATAGCTAAAGGTCAGGC